CTGAAGCAGTAATTGAACCAGTAATCTGAAGCAGTAATCTGAAGCAGGAAGGGAGAATGACTCCAGAGGTTTTAGTCAGTTTTCCTCTGACTGAATGACGGGGCCAGAAAACAATTCCTTTCTTCTTCTTCCTCTGTCGTTTTCTAGATGGTTGTCTGCGCCGTCTCAGCAGGACCAGTTGACCTCGTCTCTGTCCAGCTCAGCCTGTCCCATGATGCTTTGTGTGAGGGACCGGTTGTTGAACCTTCATCAGGCCTTGAGTCTTCCTCTGTTCCAACTCACTTGGCAGGGCTTGGCGGAAAGACTCGACAGCTTTCTCTACCGAGAAGTAAGAGATGAAAACTCTTGTGATGTTTACTTGTCCGCCGGCTGACCCTAAAACATGTTTCTGTCTGTTGGTGCAAAGCTTCGGTCTCATGAACCACCACATGGACTTTAACCCTTGCAGGGCCTTATGGGAAAAAATCAGCCACGCGTTTCTTCTTGTGTCTGCAGAGTCCTCCCATCTGTCTGACAGAACACTTAGTTTGGATGGAAAGAGTCAAAAGTCACTTGTACTGTGTACAAGAGAACTGTTCGTAGTAGAAGCTGCAGAATGACACGTTCATGTGCGACTGTTGCTTTAACTGGGTCAGAACCAGAACAACGCTCAACACAAACTGGTGCTGTGGCCGAGTAAAGATAAAACATTAAAAATGATGACGGAAGAACCTCCACTGCAAGGCCCCGTTTGAAACTACGGGACCTGAAGGCTCCGGTAGTTTAAAGCAAGGCCCCGTTTGAAACTACGGGACCTGAAGGCTCCGGTAGTTTAAAGCAAGGCCCCGTTTGAAACTACGGGACCTGAAGGCTCCGGTAGTTTAAAGCAAGGCCCTGTTTGAAACTACCGGTTCTGAAGGGTCCGGTAGTTTAAAGCAAAGCCCTGTTTGAAACTACGGGACCTGAAGGCTCCGGTAGTTTAAAGCAAAGCCCCGTTTGAAACTACGGGACCTGAAGGCTCCGGTAGTTTAAAGCAAAGCCCCGTTTGAAACTACGGGACCTGAAGGCTCCGGTAGTTTAAAGCAAGGCCCCGTTTGAAACTACGGGACCTGAAGGGTCCTTGTTCTTCCTGTGCCGTTTCTTCTTGTAACCGTTGAAGCCTTCAGGAGGCGACAGCTGTGACCTTCAGGTCTGTGCCGTAGTTTGTGGACCGTCGGCTCCACCGGGCCACATGGTGTACGTTGAAGCAGCTTGGATTTGGTCCTGCCACAGTTCCTGCGTTCAGCAGCTGACAAAGACCCACTGAGCCCAGAGCTGTGCTTCCTTCCAGCATTCCAAGACTTGGACCAGTTTGTTTGGTGTCAGTGGACCTGCTCCAGTCTGGACACGGCCCACAGAGTTCAGCATCAGAGGTCTGCGGGGCCGTTTGCACGGCACGTGTTTTGAGTGAAGCCTTTCTCTCTGTGGTTCTGCTGTTCACTTACACGACACCAGTACACCCCCCCAAAACCCGGAGGCTTCTCATCCCACCTCTCAGAGTGGAGGTTTTCGAGAGTCCGCCCGCTGATGATGTCAACATCTTCCTCAGAGCGGTGAAATCACGTGCGCACAACAGGCGTATGTTTCACGCACGGACCGACGGCAGATTTCCAACAATGGCGGCGCAGTACAGCTTCCTGTTTTCTGAGCTACGACTGGTGGAATATTTTTTGAGTCTGGTAGTTGATCTACACCAGAGTGTAGCTGCTGCGACCGACGTGTGCGTTGGAAGAGACGCAGGAGGATCCAGATCTAATCCTGACGTGCACTGACCGAGGCAGGTGGATATGTCACGCTGCACTACAACATACTGAATGTGCTCAAGAACAGTTCAGCAACTATAAACAGTATTTATGTTGTGTAATGAAGCCATCTGGATATCTGTAATGAGGCCATCTGGATATTA